ACCCTGGCCTTAGAAAAAGAACCCTGACGATGCCCCAAAGGAAAAAGATTAAGCCTGAGACGGCACAAGGCTCTGCTAGCCAGCAAGCTGCTCCACGACATTGGCTGCTTCAGGATTGAAGCAAGCAGGTCGTGTGGGGCCAGCTTGGGATAAATGACCCGCCACGACAAAAAACATGTAGAAGACTGAATGCAGGACTGGTGCTTCTCCAAGCATCTAGCCTCCAAAACATGTTTGACATATCGCTTGTATTCACGAATCCCCAAATGCATGTTGCCTTCGCAAAAGTCACGAATTCCCCACTCTCTGAGGAGTCGGAGGCTCTTTGAGCTCCAAGTATCATCTGTGGCTGAATGTGAGGCTGCATCAAAAATTCTACGAAAAAGGTCATCTGAATCCCAGCATTGCATACGTGCGCGTCTCATCGCAACATCCAAAACTGCTCGCGCCATCCCAGAAAGAGACCAACCTAATTCCCAAAAAACAGCATGAGCCGGCATCCAGCTTGGAACACCAAGCAGGATTCTAGCCCAACGAGCATATGCATCATCGAGTATCTGCGCAGCATCTGTGGCTAGGACAGCAAAGAGCCATCGACCAGGCCTCATGCATGCATCCACCTTCCCTTCAAACAACTTTAGGACGAAGGGCAGGGGGACGACATTAGACGAGCAAAGCCCCGCCAGCGTGGAAAAAACACCAGACGCAGCATGCAACCGAGCCTGCAGGGTTTCTAAAGCACCGCCGTCCTCAGTCCACATCCAGCCAAGCCATCTATGTGGGCCAGAACCTCGAGAAAGAGACGCGCAAGTGGCCGACGGCGATGGGCGGAAGAAAATGTGCTGCATCTGTCCGAAACCTCCTAAACGAAAAACAAGCGTTTTATTATCCGAAATGTGGAAACGAGCTCCATGAGCAGGGGCCCAGCGTTCAATCATGAGCACCATTCTGCATAGTTCTCCCCAAGATGAAGCTAGAAAAACAGGGTCATCTGCATGCAGGAGAAGGCAGAGGCGATTCTGGTCCCTCAGATCAATGGCTCGAGCAGCAGAGGCCTCCAAGTCTGGGTCTGCTTGCAGCTCTGAGCTGTCAGGTACGTGCCTGCGTGTGTTGAGATCGTGGAGTAATGAAGCTACAAGGTGAGGCTGGGGCACCCCCTGCCCACTCCAACGATGGGATTCCCAATTTGCGGGCAGATCAGGGCGGATCGCAACTCCGCACTTCTCACGAGCCATGATTTGTGACAGCGAGTCTGGGATCAGGGGATACAAAATGGGCCCCAAGCAACCTCCTTCGGGCAGACCTTCGAGAACAGGAAGAACCGAAAACCCGCCGAAGAAAACAGAAACCAAATCAGAAGCCAACACATCTCCTAAGAGGTGCAGTACGCCCCCAGACACAAGCGGGCACTTGGCCGCTAAGTGAATAATATCGTCACGCCAGCATGATGGAAAAGCCTTTTGAAAGTCACCCATGAGTGCAAACACACAGCGGTTTTGGGAAGCAACGGCAAGTTGTCTTAGCTCACTTAAGGCAAACACTGGGTCGTCAGAGGACCTGATGTACCCCGACTGGCCTTCCAAGAGGTGGGACCAAATTGCAGGTCTGAGTTGCAGAGCCAAGACACCTTCCTGCAGTAATCCCATTTGGGATCGGACGAAGAGCAATCTCCAAGATGAGAATTCCGACACAGAGCCTTTCTTGAAAGCCGTTCCTAAGCACGACCATCTCCAAAGAGACGGGCGCAAAGCCCATCTGGCAGGTCCTGCTAGCTGACACAGCAGCCACACTAGGCAAATCCAATCCTCTTGATCCGCTTGCAACGCAGCCCTTGGAATTAAATCTGGCGTCATTGCTGTTGAAGATTGCCAAGACGACAGAACAGCACGAACCTCTGGCTCAGAAATGTCCCTATCTAGAGGCCCCTGACCGCACTTCTTCCATGCTCGCCCCATCATGGAGCTTACGGACTGGCGCATGCTAGCAAGTACATTGGCATCAGGGATTACAGGGCCAGAACACTGTGATGTCAGTCTGTTGCACCACTCCTTGTGTGTCTCAAGGGGAGAGAGAAGCACCCCATTCTTGCGCATGCACACCGGTGTAGGGACCTTGTTTTTCCGGAGGAACTTAAAGCACTTCTGGGCTACGGTCACTGGGAGGTTACCTCCAGCGAGGAGGCTTTGAACTTCACCAACAATTCGCGCAGAATCATCTGTGTGAGAAGACATATGGACTCGGGAGGATGTGTGGCAGGGCACTGCAGGGGAGCAAGTAGGGTGGACCCATCCATCCCGCGCAACCGAGGCAAAAAAGCAATGGACCCAGCAAAAGCAGTCCAAAACCCAACGCCTAAAAGCAAGGCCAGAGACCCTCCTACAATCCCTGGCCTCAAGCTCCAAGCAATCTCGAGCAGACCTCACCAAGCTGCACAGTTCTCGAACTGCAGGCGCAATCCTAATCAGAGAGCTTGCCCAACGCCTGGGCATGTGCCACTGGCGCGGGAGCTGAGGCTGCGCCGAGCTTACATCTTCAACATCCCCTGAAGCAGAGACGGTGATTTCAATCAAGAAATGGTCGCTCATGCAGAAGTCGGCGCACACTTCCCAGGAACAACCTGACGAGGCGCAATGCAAGCTGTTGTGTACGATGACCTCAGCACGGGTGTGGCGGGAACACAAGACAAGGTCAATGGCACGGGGGTTTCCTGCGTGGTGAGTGTCCCCTTCTCGAATTGAGACCTCAGTCTTGCGTACTGGAAGTCGAATCAGGCGGGGTCTCGCGCCCGCTACAGAAGGATTGAGCAGCGAGACCGACCATTTATTCAAGAATGACCTAAGAGCAAGGTCCCTCCGAGGTTTAGGATCGGCCTGCCCACTCAAAACAGCCGGTTGGACGTTGAAATCACCTGCAATGAAAAAATGCGGGGGATTGGGTGAGTCCCACGACGATGCGAGTTTTAACATGTCGCTATCGAGGCCTTCCATTTCTAGGAGCCAGCGTGTGTCGTGTTCAGTTGATGCCTGCGTAGGCATGGCGATGAACGCACAGTAGCCTAAGGCAAGTCCAGACCTTGAGATGGACAGCCAAATACGGCAATCTGAACCAACTTCGGAGATGGGCTCAAATTGAAACGGACCATGTTGCTTCCAAATGACAGCGCAGCTGAAGTAAGACGGGCCCCCTCGGCACTCGAGGTTCCATCCTGGGCAACCTGCCAGAGCTATGCCAGACCTTAGTCGGGCTGCTGGCAGTCCTAGGATATGCAGGCCCAGCTTATCCATTGCTGTGATGGCGGACCATGGCCGCCCCAGTAGCTTACTCCAAATAACAGAAGAACCGTCAACACTAACGCACCCAGTTTTGCCAGGATTCCCTACTCCAATTTTGAGGTTTGGGCACTGCAGCTCTGACTTGGGAGAGCACGGTGGGATGAGACACCTCACCTGTGCAGCACTCTCCAAGCCAGCGGCTATCACTTTGTGGAGTTTATCAACAAGAGAGAACACATTTCCGTGTCGCGCATTAAGTGGGACGGGCCAGTTGAGGAGGCGCTCCCCTTCTTTGACAAGCCTCGTCCAGGTATGCTGCAAGATGCCAAAAGTTGCATGATCCACTGGGGCAGCGGGGTATTTCTGCCGATGTTCTACTGCCCTGCGACCCATGCAGGACATGTGCTCAGACAGTTGGTCTGTCATGCCGCGCAAAGAGGTGAGAGCGCACGGAGTCAGTCACTAACAGCAAGAGGCTGAGCCAAGACAACACAGGCGAGCGAGGCAACGCAAGGCAAGCAGCCACAAGAAAGAGAAAAAAGAAACACAACACACGCAGACACACACGCACACACACACACACACGACACACAGCGAGCAACACGCAGCACACGACCCGGGGAGCGCAGCACGCCCAAAAACGACGCGCAACAAGCCAAAAAAAAAAAAACAAAAGCAACCCGCGCACGACACCCAGCACAAAAGCAAAACGCAAGCACACAGGACGCAACAAACACGCAGCGCGCAACACGCGACAAGCAACAAGGGCAGCAAGCACGCAACACACAACAGGCAACACACGCAAGACACGACCCGCAACACAAGCGCACAGGCCGCAGCCCGCAGCACGCCGCACACAAAACCCCACACACAAAACGCCACAGGCACGACGCGCCACAAAAAACACACAACGCGCAAAACGCAACACAGAGGGCGCAGCAGCACAGCCCACAACCCACAGCACGCCGCAGACACGCAGCCCAACGCACACAGAAGCGCAAACGAGCACGCACGCGCACACGCACACGCACACGCACGCGCACGCGCACGCGCACGCGCGCACACACACGCACGCACGCACGCACGCACGCACACGCGCACACGCACGCGCACACGCACACGCGCACGCACGCACACGCGCACGCGCACGCGCACGCACGCACACGCACACACACACACACACACACACACACACACACACACACACACACACACACAACCACACACAACCACACACACACACACAACCACACACAACCACACACACACACACAACCACACACACAACCACACACAACCACACACACAACCACACACAACCACACACAACCACACACACACAACCACACACACACACAACCACACACACACACACCAACGCACGCGCACGCGCACGCGCACACGCACACGCACACACGCCCACACACACACACAAGCACACGCACAAGCGCGAACACACAGAGCACGACACAAAGCACAACACACCACACACAGCACACGCACGAGCAAGCCAAAGAAAGCCACAAAAGAAAGCCGCAACAGCCACAGCAACAGGATCGATCGGACTTCTTTTGTGGCAGATATACTGTCCATTTCCCCTGCGTTAAGTCACTGTATACAAGCACACAGCGCACGGCAATTACAAATTTGGAGCTACGCGCACTCGGAGGCGCATAGAGGCATACATCGATGCAATAGCACAAACATGAAACTGAACTTTCTTCAGCCTCACCCAAGGCACTGTAAACTGCGGGCCTCCTGCGGCGATGGGATGTTTGCCCAGGCAGCCCCAATCCGTTTTGCTGCCGGGCCTCCAACAGGCCAAGGATCCGTCCACCTAGAGATGAGCGATTCCATAGCGGCCTTAGCCTCAACAGTCTTGCCTTGTATGATGACCTTGGCACTCTTCAAGTAAATCGCAACTGATCCACTGAGTCCTTGTGGCTTGATAAGTACTCCAATGGTAGTGAAACCGTCCTGCGCAAGCAATCTTTTGACCTCAGACACATGGGAGTACAGAGGTCTAGCTGGCGGTTCGGGAAATCGGGCAGCCAGCCCAAGGATTTCCTGCAAGCTTGGTGTTCTACCGGCTGCAGTGGGCTTTAGCAACCGATTCCACCTAGCGGGGTCAACCGCAGAAGTGTTGGATGCAATGCACTTTCTGCTGGTCAGCAAATCATGCTCCGGAATTCCATGTAGGGAGGTCAAGTTGGCACATGTGCTAGGAGTTACGCAGGCATGGCGTGCTCCAACAGACTCCCTCTCCCGGGCTGGGCGCTCCATCAAGAGCTGCGTGAGGCCCTTCGTGTGCTCAGAACAGGTTTGCTCTGAGGCGGGCGCCATTGGCTTACAACAAGAGGAGTGGCCAGAAATGGTGACCAGCAAACATTCCATGAACTCATCCCCAACATAACCCACATGAGAAGACAGGCTGTCTAACAAAGCAAGGGCAGTGTGAATGTCACCCTGCTGCAAACATGCGCGGACTTTCAGCAACATGCTCTTTGCATTGGATCTATAGTGCTCACCAACGTCTTCACCATCTACTTGCTCGATATTGTCTTCTACGCATGGCAGAGCACTGGGGCAACTCTCATCCCAAGAGCTGGTGTCACTGAGGAGTGGCGACTCGGCAGGCTCTTCGCAACGGGGCTTCTGGCAGCGCAGAAAGATATCCAAGGTTGACTGTGAGAGGCTATCTGCCTTGCGCTTTTTGGATTGAGCCCTGAGCTCATCACACGCGGCCTTTACCACATAGTCTGCGCGAATCCGCCCGACCTGGAGACCTTTCTTCAGGTCCCGCACATAGTCAATGACATTGGTAGCAGGCTCTGAAAGGCCCAAATGTTCTAGGATGTCCGCAGCAGCAGTAGTAAGAATGACTTTCACTCGTTCTTTGTCACTTCCTGCGTCTTGCAGCATGCTAGCAGAAGCTTGCATGATACTCTCCAGAACAGAATCCATGGGTTAGCGAGAAACAAGAGGCGAAAAACTAAAAACCCAAGTGCTTCCAAAGCCAGATGTCAATGGCCACACTGTTGTGGTGAGCATCTGGGCGTGTCAAAAATAATCCAACAAAACTTACAAAATCATGACAAGTTCCACCAGCAACATCTGCGACGTGATCACGAGAGAAAAAAAAACTTGAAATCCCCTGCATGAACCCAAGGCCCTTTGATAGACACAGTTTATACCGCTCACTACAGCGGCCTGTGCATATCTCAGGTAACCCCGGGTCTGGAGCCTAAACACAACGATTAGAATGCATCATCCCAAGGCCCATCGACTAGCGCAGTTTCCACCGCTCACTTCAGCGGCCCGCGCAAGTCTCAGGTAACCCTGGGACTCGAGCCCACACAAACTCACGCGCAAGCATTATCCCAAGGCCCATCGACGAACACAGTTAACACCGCTCACTACAGCGGCCCGTGCAAGTCTCAGGTAACCAAGGGACTCGAGCCAGCAAGGGCACTTCAGGGGTACTGGGTACCAAAGGGCATGCCACTGGCGCATCCTGTCCTTGTGCGTCTCGCCAGCTTTCACATAGCAGCAGACCAGGTTTGCAGGATTCCAGCCGTGCGCAGCATCGATCTTACACTCCGAAACCCTAAACCCTAAACCGGATCCAGGTAACCTACGAGTCACAAAACACCAGGGTTTAGGGCTTAGGGCTTGGTCGAGAAGTCTCCCTCAACCCCTGCAACCCCTAAACCTCAAGGCCCAGAAGCCTTGCTCGAAACTCTGCCGACCCCTTCTGAGTAGGTGCCTCGGAGCTGCCTTGCCAACTCCTGCGAAAGCCCTAAACCCAAACCCTAAACCCTAAACCCTAAACCCTAAACCCTAAACCCTAAACCCTAAACCCTAAACCCTGCAGCGCCTTTTTCGATCACAGCAGGTCATGGCCGGGCTCGCTGTGCCGCTGGCAGCTACTGTTTACTCAGGCTCCAGAAGGGGTGTAGGGTTTAGGGTTTAGGGTTTAGGGTTTAGGGTTCAGGGTTTAGGCGAAAGTTCGAGCCGCCCAGATGTGAAATGCACTCTGTGGCTACTCCGCTACTCCTCGGTATGGCTAGTATCCTCGAGTTCTTCTGAGTCGCCCAGGTGGTACGCCACTTTATCCATCTAGATTTGTCACCCTGGCTCTGGCTTCAGCAAACTTCTTTGGCTTCTGGCGTCAGCATCGTTTTTTTAAACTCGGTTTTGCTCTTTGTGTTTAAGACGAAGCTCTTGCTGTCACACTGTCACACAGGGTCTACTTCAGGAAACGTTTCCTCTGCAAGCCCTTCCCGTGATCATGGCCGAGTTTATTGTCGATCTTGACTATACAACCTCTACGGAGGACACTGAAATACTCGAAGATGGCTGCGGCTTAGCCCATGAAACGCTGGGAGATGGCTTCGGCCTAGCCAGAATTAGCCCGCTTGGAATACAAACTTCGAGTGAAGCACCTGCGCCCCTGGATTTATTTTTAAGTAAATGGGTTCTTCCCCTGCCTTATGTTGGCGCCCTAAGCCCTAAACCCTCAACCCCACAAACTGTTGGCCTGCTGCGGTATTGATGCGCATAGGCAGAGTCCAAGCCCAGGTGAGAAACCGCATGTGGATGCTTCTTGGAGGGTCTACTTAAAGAACAACTGGGGTTTTGGAGTACTACAGTTTAACACATTGTTTGGTTCTGGGTTCCTATTCTATTATAGCTACTTATGCACAAAAAGGAAGGGTTTAGGGTTTAGGGTTTAGGGTTTAGGGTTTAGGGTTTAGGGTTTAGGGTTTAGGGTTTAGGGTTTAGGGTTTAGGGTTTAGGGTTTAGGGTTTAGGGTTTAGGGTTTAGGGTTTAGGGTTTAGGGTTTAGGATATACTTTTTTCCAAGAAAGTACAAGGACTGGACTTTGGCACCCAGAGTGAGTAGATTTTGACCTGCTTGGGTACCCAGAGAGCCCCCAGGCCCCCCCAAAACATGGGGACTCCTTGTTGAGTTGTGGTAGGTTTAGGGCTTATAGGGTTTAGGGTTTAGGGTTTAGGGTTTAGGGTTTAGGGTTTAGGGTTTAGGGTTTAGGGTTTCTTCCTTGAAGTATATTCCTACCTTGTGGGGTGCTGGCGCTGTCCGGAATGCCACGTTGCCGACTCCGCGTGCCCTCGGTGAACTGCTGCTTCAACTACCCTAAACCCTAAACCCTAAACCCTAAACCCTAAACCCTGGCTCAAGGGCATATTGTGAGAGAAAAAGATCTCCCAACGTTCCCGCCTCACATTTTCAGCACCGGGCACAGCCATGGTGGCATTCGCAGTCATCGGCCTGCTTGTCATGTCAGCGGGCTTGGTGTCTTGGTAGCTGAGTGAGCTTTACACCTTCTTGCGATACGATGGTCCCCTATAGAACTGAAAGTTTGCACTTTTTTTTTTGGGGGGGGGGGGCTTCTGAGCTCAGCAACTAAGGTGTCGGGAGGAACAGTGCAGATGTTCAGGTCCACTCTGTACAGCGGCGAGAACTGTACAGGGTCAACCGCATATTTCATGAGGTTGCTTGGATTGTTGAGGACTTTAAACAAGTTGATTTGTCAGACTCTTGTTTTGTAGTAAATGGTATAGTGCCCTTGCCGGGGTAGCTTTGTTTAAGTGCCTGTGCAAAGCGCAAGGATGCCATTTGGCTGCTTTGCACAGGGTGCTGGATCGGCGAAATTTGAGTGGGACGGCGAAAATGTGACCTTGGCAGCATACAGCTGCACAGGCCTCAACCCTAAACCCTAACCCTAAACCCTAAACCCTAAACCCTATAAACCCTAAACCCTAAACCCTGAAGCCCCCAATGTCAGGTGACTTCCTGGAGTTACGGGCAGAGGAACTGCGCAGGCTGCCGCTGCATGTTTTTAACGAACTGTCAACCTAAACCATAAACCCTAAACCCTAAAACCTAAACCCTAAACCCTACACCCTAAACCCTAAATCCTAAACCCTAAACCCTAAATCCAAAACGGCATGGACATGGCTGCCCGGAAATGTGCCCTGCCGTTCTAGCGCGTGTGAATCTTGCAGTCGTAGCTGGATGGTGCATCTTCCCGCTTGTATATACATAAATCCCAGAGGGTCCATTGCGTAGTACTGTTGTTTTAGGTACCCCAAAAAACAATACTAAATGGGGTTTCGGGGTACCTATTTCCATAGTACTACAAATGGACCCTCTGGGAAAGTGTTAAAGCCTGCCCAAAACCTGTTCAAACTATTCAGGCCCCTACATTAGCTCAGGAGCGGCTTCGACGGTGGTTGTGACGCCTGGCTGCCACGACATGCCACCAGTCGGATTCTATGAGTACGCGATTGAGTCCCGGCCCTGTTTCTTACTTTTTTCATATAACCGGTTCGGTCTTACTGTTGCATTGACCGGTTCGGGTTGCCTGTCACAGCAGGCTTGCGCGTGTTCCCTAACCCTGAGCCCCATTGGGCCCATAAACCCTAAACCCTAAACCCAAAACCCTAAATCCTAAACCCTAAATCCTAAACCCTGAACCCCAAGCCCTAAACCAGAAGTCCATGTGCCAAGGATACTCTTGAAGAGGCTGAGATCCTGAAAGCCGACATCTACGAGAATAGCCTGTCCTGTCCCTGGCTCATTCAAGGTTTAGGGGTGTATGGGTTTAGGGTTTTCAGGGTGTAAGGGTTTAAGGTTTAGGGTTTAGGGTTTTCAGGGTGTAAGGGTTTAGGGTTCTATCAGGGGGTTACGTGTCCAGAGGTACAGGGATCGAGTGCCGGGAAGTAGTGCTGTAGAAAACCCTGAACCCTCAAGCCCATTGGACCTAAACAAACACTGTATACTTGGGCCTTAAAGGACCTCCTATGTAAGGACTATGGGGCCCAAGCATATAGTAGCAAGGGGTTTAGGGTTTAAGTTTAGGGTTAGGGTTTAGGGTTAGGGTTTGGGGTTTAGGGTTCAGGGTTCAGGGTTTAGGGTTCAGGGTTTAGGGTTTAGGGTTTAGGGACCCTATTTGGGGTAAGTACCCATGAACCTTCAAGTGCTGGCAGCCAGGCGATCCTTCGGCCTGGGTTTCCAATTTGTACGTCACGTTGGATGAGTGCGTGCGTCTTGGCTGGAACTCGAAATCGAGGTGTCGGAATAAGTACGAATGGTGTTCCCTTATGGCCGCTATCTGGTGATGCTATAGTACCACAGTACCACCACCCCCCCCCCCCCCCCCCCCCCCAACAAAAAAAAAAAAAAACAACAACAAGAAGCTGTTCTAATTATTGAGGCCCCTGTATTGGCCGCCTTGATCCTGACCCGAAGGCTGTAAGTACTCTCATTGTAGGGCTGTTTTTTACCTTGCTTTGTAAGGCTTTTGGAGGTTCTTTCGAGCCCAAGGGCTTGGGGGGTTGTTATCCTAAGCCCTAAGCCCTAAAGCCCTAAAGCCTAAAGCCTAAACCCTAAACAGGCCGACCATGTACACCCCGGGTCTCTGGGTGTCCGCCTCTTGCAATGGCGATCAGCTGGTGGCGAGCTACTACACAAGCCACACATGTGATCCTGCCACGGCGCCTGGGCCTAGGGTTTAGGGTTCAGTTGTGTTGGAGTTTAGGGTCTTGGTGTAGCCCAGTGGTACTCTTTTCTTGCCTTTTGTTGGTTTAAGGTTCTAAAGCAACCAACCCAACAAAGGGTGCCCTGCTTACAGTATGGCTACTGCGCTAACAAGGGGTTCGAGCCTTCAAAACCCTCCAAAATTTCCTCAGCCATCTTTAGGGTTTAGGGTTTTGGGTTTAGGGTTTGGGGACCTAAGGCGGCGAACACGAGCCTCGACGTGAGCAGCTGCATGGCTCTCTCCTCGTCAGCAGCATTCACGGTTGCCTTCGATTGGGGGGGTCATGGCTGTACGACAACCACGACGACAGTCACGTCGAGCAGCACAAGCTCGAGCACCATGACGGAGACCACCCTCACCGTGACGGTGACCACGGTCACGGCGACCACATCCACGGCGACCACGGTCACGGCTACGGATACGTCGACGACCAGCAGCACCACCGATTTGAGTAATGAGGTGTCCGGCTCCGAAACTCGGAGCGCTGGCACCGCCTGCCTTTTCTTGCTTTTCAAGTTCTTTGCTGCCCTCTTGTTTTGAGAAGCCCAGGGCGTGGGGCGACGGCTGTCGAGTTCTGTTGATGCTTCGATGTTGCCCTTGTAGTGCTTAAGGGTATAGATTACACGAAAGCGTAAGTTCTTTCTTTAAAGTCGCACTTGTGGACATTGCCCGGGGTTCAGGTTTGCTTTGGTAATCGCAGGGCCCATCAAATAGAGACAGGATTTCAAAGAGGGGAATCCATGTTCTTTTCTGAGTGCCAAGAAGGGAGCCCTCAGCCCCAAACCCTAAACCCTAAACCCCAAACCCCAAACCCCAAACCCTAAACCCTAAACAAGCCCGTACCCCCAGTGGAAGGACTTCAGGATCCAGCCAAGTGAAACCGTAAGCGTCTACTTACTGTCTTATGGTCGGGAATCCGATCTGGGTTTAGGGTTTAGGGTTTAGGGTTTAGGGTTTAGGGTTTGGGGCTTAGGGTTTAGGGTTTAGGGTTTCCATTCCAATTGAGGGGCAATGGGTGCATGTCCCTTCCTTGGGGAGTACACAGTAGGGCTTAGATTCCTTGTATCCCCACAAGGACACCCAATACATACACTTACCAAGATGACAAATGGAGCCTTATATACACTCACCAATAACAGAAAAGTCAGCCCTGTTCCGGGTAATGAAGAGATCCTTTTTTGAGGGTTTAGCGTTCTGGGCCTGGGGCTGTTGCAATTTAGACCTGTTCAGAAGTTTAGGGTTAGGGTTAGAAAAAGGACTGGGAATTGAGGAAACCCTAAACCCTGAACCCTAAACCCTAAACCCTAAGGGTTTAGGGTTTCGGATTTAAAGTTTCGGCTTGAGGACTTAGGGTCATGTCAATCCAGAGTTTAACAGCGGCCGTGGCCCCAGAAATCGCGACTCGCGAGCACTCGCGAGCACTTGCAAAGACTCCGATATCCCTTCAGTATAGAGCCTTTAAACCCTAATCCCTTAAACCCTTACACCCTTATTGTAAACCCTAAACCCATATAAACCCGATATCGCCGACATCGGAGCCTTCTCAGCTTGCTGTTTTGTGAGAAACCGGAATCATGCAGGGGTCGGAATAGTTACTCATAGTCTTCCCTTGTGGCTCCTATATAAATATACTAATATACTATAATACTATTATAATACACCCAAAACCCCGTTCTAATTATTCAGGCCCCTATGGTAGTTTTGAAACTGCTGTGACGAAGTGCGCAGCCCATTGTGGCGAATGCAGGCATCCTTTGAGCATCCGATTTCGAAGCTTATAAGCGACGGTGCACCACTTCTCTCATAGGGTTTAGGGTTTAGAACCCCTGTAAACCCTGATAGAAGCCCTGCATTCTCGCCGGGTTGCGCTCTCTGGTGTCACGGAGGCGCGTGTCTGAGTGAAGTTCTGGCCCAGGCAGCATGTTTTTGAAGAGGAGGCGAAATGAGCACATGCCTGGATCTTCCTGCGCAGAGCTTTTTGAAGCAAATGGACGGCAAAAGTTTCTCCGGAGGGCGAACTGTCCCATCACCCCGCCCCAGAAAGTGCGTCACGCGAGCACTTGCACAGAGACTCCGATATCCCTTCGTTATACAGGCTAAAGCCCTAAACCCTGACACCGTTACTAAACCCTCAACTAGTCCCTGAATTAAACCTGATATTGGAGCCTCTGAGCTTGCTGTTTTGCGACAAATTCGTCCGTGGTCCGGAGAATAGTTTTGAAACGGTTGTGATGAAGTGCGCAGCCCATTGTGGCGAATGCAGGCATCCTTTGAGCATCCGATTTTGAAGATGAAGCGACGGCGCCCCACCCGATAAACCCTGATAGAAGCCCTGCATTCTCGCCGGGTTGCGCTCTCTGGTGTCACGGAGGCACGTGTCTGAATGAAGTTCTGGCCCAGCAGCGAGGCAAAGTGCTCCAATCTATTTTCGAAGAGGAGGCCCCATGAGCACATGCCTGCCTGGATGTTCCTGCGCAGAACTTCCCGAATGAAGCAAATGGCAAAAGATTCTCCGGAGTGCTAACCCATCCACCCCGACAAAGGCTTGCAAAAGCACATCAAGAACCCATCACGATGCAAGTCCACTAGGCACTATACCCTCTGTCACTACCTGCAGGATCGAGCATTGGTCCGTTTTGGGTAGTATACCGCGACCCTTAGTGGAAAAGCCAAAGCGGACCCCAACGGATCCCCATTTTCCCTTACAAGGAAGAATATTTTCTTGTTTTTTTTTGTTATCTCTATTTTTTGGGGGGGTTCCTCAAGCAATTGGTAGTTAAGCGCCAGGCCACTTGCCGAACTTCCTGCGCGAGACCTACGTCTCAGTGCGCCAAGCGGCCACTTGGCTGCTTCAGGGATGCAAGCGGTGTAGGGTTTAGGAGTTTTAGGGGTTTAGGGTGTAGGGACCCTATGACCCTGGAAAACCCTAATGCTCCACACTCTAAAATACTACTTGCTTAAGATAGGCATGATTACTCTGCATCTTTTTTGGGGCTTCTTAAGCAAATAGTAGTAAACCCTAATAGTTTACACTCTAAACCCTGTGGCCCCGGAACCCTAGTTCCCTTTCACCCGGGTTCCCCGATGGTCCTTCAACGCAAAGTGGCATGCGAGCGTTTTCCTCCAATAAAACCCAAGCCCTAAACCCTAAACCCTAAACCCTAAACCCCTATACATGGACCCCCCCTTCTGGAAGCCCAAGTGAAAGTAGTTTTAACAAAACCGTTCTAAAAACCCTAAACCCTAAACCCTAAACCCTAAACTCCTCAGCCCCGAGCTCCTAAACCCTCAGCCGCCAAGCCGTAATTCTTCAAGCCCTAAACCCTAACCCTCAGGCTCAAACTAGCCCAAAAACCTGATGCAACAAGGCGCTTGGGGGCCCAAAAACCCGCAAATAGGAGTCCTTGGAGCCTTAGGGTATCATCATGAGCCATATTATGGTCACGCACTCCATGGTCCCCCTCCCCCTCTCCCCTTCCCCCTCTCCCCTTCCCCCTCACCGGCCCTCCCCCCACCCCCCCCCCCCACCCCCCCCCCCCCCCCCCCCCCCCCCCCACCCCCCCCCCCCACCCCCCCCCCACCCCCCCCCCCGCTCCTTTTTTGGCCCCAAACCCTTTCATTGCAGTCCTCAATGGCCTGTACTCATGCTTCGGGTAGCAAGTTTGGGAAAGTTAGCGCCGATGGGGTCTGGGGAAGTGGGCTTAGGGTTTCTAAGCACGTCAGCCAAGGGTTTAGGGTTCAGGGGTTCACGAGTTCAGGGCTGAGGGAGTAGGTTTTAGGGCTGGGGTTTAGGATTTGGGGTTTAGGGTTTGGCGCAATGCCCTTGAAGAAGGCCTTAACCCAAGTGTTGAGGGTCACTCAGGTCCTGTGGCGGTTTTTCATCTTCCAACTCTTCAGGCTGGCAAGCGCTTCCATGCAAGAGCGCCCGTTCAGGTGGTTTTGGAACCCTAAACCCTAAACCCTAAACCCTAAACCCTAAACCCTAAACCCTAAACCCTAAACCCTAAACCCTAAACCCTAAACCCTAAACCCTAAACCCTAAACCCTAAACCCTAAACCCTAAACCCGACCCTGAACCCTGAACCCTGAACCACTCAGGGTTATAGGGCTTTGGGGGTTGGGGTTTATAGGGTTCATAGGGCTTAAAGGGTTTAGAGGGTTTGG